GTCAGCTTTCGTTAGCCAACAAGATGGCGGATAGCCAAGGTCACACCGGCGTTGGGGCGTTGTCAGATGTGATCACGTGCTCTTCCGCACCCATCATGTTGCCTCAGTCACTCGCTACTGCGGTGGAGTTAGGAACGATTGGCCAAAGCACAACTAGGTTACTATTTTTGGTGCTAACTGAGAGCAAAACAGTGCTTGTGGAACATGTTGTTCGGGTACACATGAACGAAAACCGAGTAACCAGATCCATTTAGATGAAGATATAGTGATATTGCTCACAGCAAAGGCAACACCTCTTGAAATTTCTTCAAAATCCCACAGCTTGGCCATTGGACGCCTTCTTAAGTTTGCATGGTAGAGCAAAACGAAACGATTTGAGCGCAGTTTGGCCTTCTTTGTGTAGACAGAAAACTGTGCAGGGGCCAGTCTTACTACTACCTAGAGTAGGCATCACAAAATGGACGGATGTAGCACTCGTACAAATGTCTGCCAAATTGAATTGCCTAGAAAGAAGATTTAACATATCCCCCGTAGCTCAACGTTTCAAAAGTTACCATTCAAAAGCTTGAATGATAAACAGTGACCTGTTTAACAACGCCTACTTATTTCAAGGCAGGCTACACCAGTCCTATGGTTAGCAACTGATTGCTTTCGAATCGCCCGTTCAGCAGATTCAACAATCGGCGTATTCCAAAGTATACCTCTTCAGTGTGAGCATGGAATTCCAAACAAGGTCTTCATAATCCAGATAGAATAGTTGTAAAGAGCCTTTCGGTAGTAAAATTGTGCCCCACTCCCTACATCACCTGTAAAAAAGTGGAGAGTCAGTGACAAGGTAGAACTGCTCCCCAAACATCTTCTGGTGGTGGGTTGAGACTTACCTTATCGAGCAGGGTTCGAACTTTGAGGCCAGATTAATTTAGCATAGAAAGGATGAAGTACTGCCCTGCCTTTAGATGCACTGATCACCGCACGCAAAAGGATTCATTTGAAATAACTCCAAAAGTTTGGTGTAAAAATCTCAGAATCCGCCCTTTGCGAGAAGAAAACTCTAGTCATTCTCGTTTCTTTCGTCACTCTGTGGATTCGTCCAGCTCGATAGTCTCTCCCAACTCTTCGAGAAAAGGTGTAAACCAAAGAGTTTTCAGCAACCTTGTGAGTAGCTTCTTTTATGTAACCCAAAGCAGTTATTTCACCCCGAAGGTGCGGATAACGTCTCTCAAAAGTCCACTGCCCCGTTGGATCCCACCAAATCAGAATGATTCATTCATAGTCACTTGTGTTATACTCAAACCCACGTTGTATTGTTCTGACTCATTTTTGCACCAGTGTTTGTCATCCACTGAAGGCGTCTACAAAGGCATGAACAGTTCGAGCCCAAGCACATCCCGCAAGGGGAAATCGCAGCCACGTCCGGTGCAATAATGTACGTAGATAAATGTGTGGCGTTTCTACGCGATGAAGTTACTTAATACTCAAAATTCGTAGGGTTGTTCGAAACTATTCTTCGACAGCTCACGACTGGTTTCAACCGTTTTGGGGCTCATCAGGTAAACGCAGTCCGCCGGTTCCACACCTTATATTTTAAGTGAGACAAACTGAGCGAAACCGGGGGAAAATGCGCTCATTCGCAGCTATTCAGAGTTTTCCGGAACAATGGATTCCTAGAAGCTTGGAGAAGGGAACATCCTAGCAAAAGCAACGGCAAGAACAAGCCTCCAGACGGACAGTTCTGTCCTATACCAAGAATCTATCGGAACTCGTAACCATATTATTAGCTCAAAAAGGAATCCTCATGTTCACAAATTCAATTTGGAAAACGTGGAAAGTTTGGCACATGGAGACACGAGACACGGAAGGGAATTTTTACAATCCACGACCGATCCAATTTACGCAGTACTACGTGCAAAGGACCACTGTGTCAAACGGAATACCCAAAGAGAACCTAATATTCAATTCAAAAACAAAGAAACAAGGGACTTCTTGGAATCAGATCAATAAAACCCGGACCAAGGACAGAAGTGAATCCAGCGTCGACCAGATTACAAAGGCAGAGGATGACAAGCGCAAAGGTCAGGTGGGCATCGGTGAATCAGCTCACAGGATAACAGGGCAACCAATTGAACCGCCCGACCGAACGACCAATCGTGATCGAGGGTCAGCCCCAGCTAGCAGCATGCATATTAGCACACACGCAACCGTAATCAATGCACAACCGTCTACCCATCGCTAAGCACCAATAAGCTCGCGAACAACGCACCGATGATGTCATCCCGACTGGTGATGAAACGTTTGTAATGAAATTGCCCAGCTCAGCGAACAAGCCAGCGACCACATACAGGAACCTACTTACAAGGCTGATGAAAACTCTTCGACAACCCATGTGCCATTCTCGTGGTCCTTAGGTAGTCGTTGTCCCCGAGATGCCATCAAACTTCCTCCGGACACCTTAATGGACAAGTATGATAAATCTGGTGCCCAGTCCGAGGTTTTGCTAACTACACTGCCTAACTACCTGCTACCTCAACCCGAATCTGCTAAACGGTAGCTGATTGGTGGATTTTTCACTACGAGCTACAAAATTATTACTGGTAAGTAAACCGTTCACCAGATTGGCTCCGGCTTTAGGACGAAAATTAACAGCTGTTCGTTTTCCCTTAATGCTCGATCATTGACTGGTCAGTCAACTGACCTGCCTCCAGGGCCCATCCGTGTTCCAGTTCTTCACTTCTCCCGGAATGACCGAATACGCATTCGGTGTTTCTTCATAAATTTCGACAGGCCTGATAAGCAGATTATTTCTGCTCGAATTCTCCGCTAGCATTGATTGAAAGCTTGTCGAAGCAAAGCGTGTATGTCTTCTACCTATTCGAAGGCAGAGTAATAGCTCTAAAAAGTCAGAATGATATGCTAGAGTCGCTAACCAAAATGTTAGTAGTCATGTAATGTTGACAGTTGGAATGCTGCACGAGAAACACATTATCCCATGTCAGGACGGCTGGATTCGAGCTCAAGTTTTTTCACTGCTCCAAAATCAATCTTCTGGCTCCTCACTCAGTGCTTGAAACGAGGCCCTCTTTCAGTTCTGTCTAACTAAGAATGCCAAAACAGTTTGGACCACTGAAAGGTGGTCCTGCCAGGAAGAGCGAGAGATTGGACTGAACAGCGGCTCTTGGGGACAGCACAGCTGGGTGCTCCGATAAAACTGACCTCGTGGTGATTTATGTAACTAGCTGTATGTATGTAACTAGCTGGTGACGCGTACAACATAGTGGAACTCACAGAAAATACCCAAGTGTGTCAATTTTGACAAGACTGTTCCACATGCGGGTGAGGTCAGCGCAACTTTAGGGTCACGACTTGCTTATCAGCACGCAAGTCAGGCAAGTAGATGGATCGGTAGTTAGCTGTGAAAAACCTGGATGCCGGGCAAAACGGGTCGAGTGGATCCAACTGATTTGCGAGCTGAACCAATATCTGTATTACTGAATGTTGCTTTACCATGAAAGGTCCTCTTGGCATCACTGTGGAAAACATTTGCAACCCACACTCGTCACTTGACAAACAATGAATACGGGGAAGTGGTCCGTGAGGCTTGTTTTGGCCAGATGGAGGCTATTATGCAAGGCTTCAACACACTACATAAAATACTGTCAGTTATGGATAACTTCAAAACACCCATCGATGTTTTACCAACCCTGGAAGAAATGCAAGACGCTCTTGGACAGCCTGCCAAATATTTGTTTGGGATTTCCGTCACTCAAGCACACCCACCAAGAGAACTGAGTCGTATTTTAAACTACCCCACCTGTTGATGATACGTCGGTACACACGCGTCGATCAGCTGACGGCGAGGAGATGTAAGAGCCGTAAGTCCAGGCGCTGGACTTCCCACAATAGGCTACGTGCATGTGCAAATAAACTCAGATCAAGCGCACCCGCCGCGCTGGATTCATAAGCCCATGATCGATAACGCACTAGGGCAGGCAGCGCAATCAGGCGAGCAATTAACACGTCTAAAGAAGAATGTCAGAAGGGACTGTTCATGTAAGGGCGATTCGCGGTGAATGGACGGTTGTCAGACTATGACAAGTCTATCAGTCGTTCTTAGATTGTTTCTGTTGTTAGTATCCCCTGTACAACCAGGGCTGAAGCATCAGGTGGATGGTGCAGCGAGACGCTGATTCACACGGTACGAACCAAGTGAGATGGAGCTTAGAATGCGTGCACAAAACTAGAGTGTGTATTAGGCCCTCAAAAGGCACAAGCCAAACCTCAGGCAGAGAAGTTACAAAGGTGCAACCTAATGAACACATCCAAAGAACAGTTTGGGAATTATGCTTTAAATCCCCCGGAGTTCTAGTGTTCTGGTAGGCATGTGTTATTATTGCCTGTGTTGGTCAACACGGATGACAATTTCATCGAAAAGAAATCGATAAGATACGCTAGATCTGATTAGTTTGAACACTCCTTATGCGATGAACTAAGTGACGCTCATTCTAAATGCGGGCGATATTTTGTATTTCACTACGTGACCAGCATTCGAATCAGAGTATTGATCAGTGGCATTGCTACCAGTTGGAGTGCAGAAAAATCGATTATTCACAAATGTCCGTAATTCGAGATCGATACATGAACGTGACCCTCTCGCTAACGTGGTCTGAATATCCATTAGGCGTTCAACCATAAAGAGGAATTAATTAATGTCGCACAAGAGGCTTGGTTGTTTTCATAAGGGAAACTACTCACAAGGTTGCTAAAAACTCTTCGACAGCCCACGACTGGTTTTACCCTTCTTGAGGCTCATCCCCGAGTTTCCGTCAACCTTATGTTCTACTTGAACCAATATTGTACTGATTCCGACAAATGCACCCATTTCCAAATCAGTTTGTTCTTCACGGGGGACTCAAGTGAATCCCTCGTTTATGATATTCTTCAACAGAATGTGCCGCACAAAGGGCGCCTCGGAGACTTTTCAGCGACCTTTTGAGTAGTTTTCTTTATAAAAATATACCGTGATATCTCGAAAATCGTACCACCTCAAACATGAGGTGACCTCTGCGCAGCACATTCAATTGTAGATTATCATGATCGAGAGATTCAGTTGAGCCTCTCGTGAAAATCAATTTGATTTGCAGATGACTAGGTTTCTCGAAGGCTTGTTTGTTCTTCCTTAGAACCCATCGATCGCTGGAGCCTCTCGAATCAATTTGATTTGCAGATGACTAGGTTTCTCGAAGGCTTGTTTGTTCTTCCTTAGAACCCATCGATCGCTGCATGGTCGGCTCTTAACTGTAACATGCTGAATACCTGCCTTTCTTGCTTAGTTCAGCCAAGTGTTCCACATTTCAGTGTAGAATGTTCACAGGGCAAGGTTGAAACCAACTACCAGCGAAAAAAATCGTCTCGAATAAACATGTAGTCCGGTGTGTAATGAACTTCATACATGTATATTCGTAGTGCACTACTCATCAGGTTGCTGAGAATTCTTCGACAGTCAACGACCGGTTTCGCCCTTCTTGAGGCTCGTCAGGTAGGCGCAGTCGCCGAGTTCCTGTCGAACCTTATGTTCTACTAGAACCCAAATTGCACGATATTAAAGAGATCAAACCTTTTGCATACCAAATTGGTTTTGACAGGAAACTCACTTTCATTTATACTGCTTTTCAGCAACATGTACCGCGATACCTGGAATATCGTGCCAACTGAAACATGAAGTGGCCTGGTGCGGCACACTGAGTTGCTTAAAAACATCACAAAGGAGGGATTCAACTGGGTTCCAGGTGGGTCTTTCCTCGAGGCTGCTATCTGAGTGTGACCGATTATTTCTTTTACTACTTAAGTGAACGACAATGGACAAACTTCTGCTCATGCAACCTCATTTTTCTCGAATACCTCTGGTGCACTTCAAGAGTGTCACCATAGGG